GCCGTAGGTGTGTTATCAAAAGCCCCCTCAATGTCCAAAAATGCACATAGAGCTGTCTGCTTATCCTCTAGGGACCTTTCTGCCTTGTCGATCAGAGCTACTAAGGCAGATTCTGTGGATTTACCCTTTTGGTAAGCATGTTGGTTGCAGGAAAGTGGTCTAGCCACAAGATACCTTGTTCTAATGTGCTGATCGATTACTTTTTCCATTGTTTTTAGTAGGAAAGAAGTAAGACTAATAGGTCTAAAGGATTTGGGCTGAGAGTAGTCTTTTTTACCGATCTTCGGTATAAAGATAACCTTGACCTTAGTCCATTGTTCTGGTATAATGCCCCAAGCAAAGCTTGCTCTAAATAATTTTACCAGATGCGGGATAAGGAGTTCCATGCCCTGTTGAAGCAGAGCTGGAAAAATTCCGTCTTCCCCTGCTGATTTAAATGGTTTGAATTTTTTCAAAGCCCATCTAATCTGGTTAGGCCTAAAAATGGTATTGGCCATCTTCCAGTCGCAACTATTTGCCCTGTGGATGTAGTTTTCCTTTGGGTTTGATTCACTGCCGGTGACAGGGTACGATCCTGGGAAATGGGTTGCTCTTAAAAGTTCCAGCGTCTCCATCTCTGTGGTCGTGAAGGAATCGTCTCGCTTTTTTAAAAAGCCGAGAAAGATGTTTGGTGTCTTGGCAAGGACCTTGTGGATTCTCGCTCCTTTATGTGTTTGGGCGATATTCTCACAGAATCGTTTCCAAGATGCTCTTTTAGCTTTTCTGATCTCTTTGTGGTATTTAGTCAGAGCCTTCTTATACCGTTCCCACCCATACGGTGTAGTGGCCTGATTAAATAAGCGACGTGTGGAAACTCTAAGTCGTTCTAGCTTTTTGTTCCACCACGGAGTATTGTTGTTAACCTTGAGTTCCCTGACAGGACAGCTATTTTCATAGGCATTTAAGATGCCATCCGTTAATAAGTTGTTTAAAATGTTAAGGGAGTCGGGTGTCTTGATTGATTTTGGAAAATCCTTAGCTGCCTCAGCGAGCAGGTTTTTGAAGTCTACCCACGAGGTGGCTTTGGGATTTCTAAGCCTTTTAGGCTCAGTAGTTATTGAGCCTTGTATGCTAAAGACAATATGTTTGTGATCGGACAAAGAGTTTTCATTACTGACATGCCATTTACTTATGTGTTTAGCTATTTGTTCAGTAGCAAAGGTAATATCCAGAACTTCCTGCCTAGCTTTGGTAGCGAAGGTTGGATTACAGCCTTTATTGAGTATTTGTAGATCGTTAGCTAGGAGAAAATCTAAAAGTAACTCACCTCTTTTGTTGGTACCAGTACTGCCCCAGATTGTGTGATGGGCGTTTGCATCGCAGCCAACAATTAATTCTGTCTTGTGTTTTCGAGCGTAGTCGACGACTTTAGACAGTTCTTCGGTGGGGTTGGCTTTCTCTCCGGGCAGGTAGGCCGAGCACACTAGTGCTCTAGTTTGACCACGCCCTCTGAGAACGGTGATTGCAGCGACCATGTCATCACTGCAAAGTTCTGTAACAGGCAAGAAATTAATACCTTTCTTAAAAACGATACAGGCCCTAGGCTTGGTGCCATTTTCGTTTGCTAGGATCTTACCTACTCCACTTAAGCCCGAAATCTTGGACTTGGCGTTAAGCCATGGTTCCTGAACCAGCGCTATATCCATGCCATGTGCTCTAAAGGTGTTTTCTGCCACGGCTGTGGCAGCGATAGCGTGGTGTAAGTTGGCCTGGAGTATGTTGGTGTGGGCATCGCCAGTTTGGTGTGTAGCGCTACTGGGGACGAGCCCCATTGCGCTTGTCACGTCCCTTGCTGCGGCCCTTTTGTTTATGGGGGCGCTGGCTCTTGCCTCTGGGGGTTTGTCCACCCCTGGTGTGCCCCCCTGTATGAGGAAACCTGTGCGGAGTTCCAGTCGTTCCGCTGGTCCCGGCCACAGGAGCCACGCCAGGTGCAGCTGCACCAGATGGTGAAGGTGCAGCAGCGTTGGCGGTCGCTCCAGCAGCCGCGGCCCCAGAACGAGAGGTAGACGGCACAGGTCCAGAGGCAGAAGTCCCAGGATTGGGTGTGGGCTGGTTGATGCCCTTAATCCGGAACTGGACAGACTTGAAGGCCAAGTAGGCTTTCAGGTCGGTTTTACGGAGGGTCTCAACAGACTGGTCGTCGATGGAGAGGGTGAGTGTAATTCCGCCCTTCTCCGCCTTTTTGTTGAGAACCTTCCACAGTTCCGTATTAAGGCCATCATTTTGTATCCGGAGACAGGAGAGCGCCTGGTCGACGTCTTTTGACTCCGGATCGGGGATGTATACTACCCCAACCTTTGGTTTGGGCAAGTCACTCTCATTAATGAGAGCGAGCTTAGCTCCTGGCCACGGCTGTAGGGTGGGTATACAATTTTCAAGCCATTCCCTGGCGTGCTGGTTGACGCAGGTAATGAGCAGCCAGCCTGGCTTGAATGATAGCCCGCCAAAGGCAGGTCCCTTACCCTTCTCCGAAGTGGTGATTTTGGCCACGATCGCATTATATAGTGACTGCAGCTGTGCGTCAGTCATGGGAGTGGAGTCCCTCACACCAACTTTGGAGGAAGATAAGGCCGCACTATAGGCAGCTGGAGGTGGTGGGGCCGACGGTGCTTCGCTCGACCTTTGGGACTTCCTCACTGGTTGTCCCTGTGGTGATTCCTCCTCCGAGCGGGTCCTTTTGATGGAGCGCTCGGGTTCTGGTTTCGAAGCATCGAATCGATACCCCATAGCCCTGAGTTCCGCAAAGGTTTTAGCGGACAGTTCGTAGGCTTTTGCAGCCTCCACTCCCTGTCCCCTAAGAGCCTTAAGGCGGATTAAGGCTGCCCCACTCAATCTTTTACGTTTGGGTCGGGCAGCATCAGAGGAGGTGGCAGCAGGGTTGCCAGTAGGTGATTCAGAGCTTGTAGAAGCCCCTATCGCCATTTCGGTGCCTGCAGTCACCTCCATTGGTTGCGCTGACATTTGGGCGGTTTCATCCGCACCCATTGTCAGCGGCATGAGGTCCTGGCACAATTCGTCCAGGGTTTGTGACGTGGTAACGTCATTTCTATTTTTGATATTTTGGTCCTTACTCATATAGGTCCCACGAGCAGCTAGGGAAATAAAATTGCCCACCGACAGAGCCCCGCATGTCGATGGGAGGACTTAAAATACTATCCGATTCGTCCAGGTGTCGGATAGCCACCGTTAGCGACTGAGCTCCCCCCCAGCCACGCATCCCTCGGCACGGTACGAATAACACCTTGGATTGGGTTCTAAACTAAAGCTATATATATACGTACATATATACTTCATAGACACACTTACATAAACATACATAAACATACATATATAAATAAAAGTGAAAGCAAGCGCTCGGTGTTTTCTGTTGCGTCTATTTCCTAGTGAACTAGACCAATAACAGGGCTGGCAACCTCGTGAAGGATAGTACACCGAACTTGCCTTGGGGATCTTTGCGACAAAAGCGTCACTCTCCCCCAAGACCAACGCCACCCCACCGTCTCTGAAGGAGACAGTAGGGTAGGCCTGCGCCTACACTACCATGCGAAGCATGTCGTAAGGGAACCGTGAAAGCATAGATTCAGGCCCGCCCCTAATATTTTTAATTTTTTTTTTTTTTTTTTAATCATTTAATTATTACATTATATATATAGGTTTTTAGTACGTATAAGTACCTAGTGACGAAATGTTTCTTTCAGTGTGTAGTGACCCTACTTGCTGTGCCAGCGGTCGCGGGTTCGGGTTCGAGTCCCGCTGGGGGCATTCATTTGTGTGATGAGCACGAATGTTTGTACTCCCCATGACTGGGTGTTTATATTTATAATATGTATGTATTTAAAGTTATATATGTGTAATGTATCAACTATCTGGTATCCATGACACAAGCCTCGTAGCTTACCATGAAACTAGATGGTGCTGTGTGTTAATATCCCAACATATTTATATTAATTTATATTAGTTAACAAAAATCATCTAAACTTGCGATACCTATACAAATGTGTTACACAGTTTGTCGCATCTCTATGAAGTTTTTCCTTTGCCCACATTCAAAATAATTTGATTGCATGATTTATATTTAATAGCTGGGGTTTCTGGGTTTTAAATAAAAAAGACCTTTTTTAAAAAAGAACTTTCACTACACTAGTGAAATTATAATTGGACGGATCTTACAATTATCCTGCGACATATAGGCAGGTACCTACTTACATCGTTTCTTTTGTAAATAAAAAATACCTAAATATTTAGCTGATTACATATTTCATTTAAAGTAAATTTTTATCTTCACAAAAGTTTAAGTCCTGTAGAGTTATACGTAGATGTAACCTACATACTGATACATATAACATATGTGTATATGTAGATAAATATTGTCATTACAGTAATTTGAAATTTCTAATACTTACACAAAATTCCGCTGGAATACGGCGAAATTTCATTGTAAATCGTACCATTTTTTCTGTTACCTCATGAAGTAGGTACCTACGTCGGTCGTTGGTACCTAATATAATAAAATTGTATGCAGATACTTTGCTTTTAAGACATAATCAATAACGAATTTAACCGTGTGCCAAATACACAGGTTGTGGTCTAAATAACTAAACATAACTTGGTTGCGACAAACGGTGCGGAAGGAATGGACACTTTCTGCAGATCATGCGGACCACTGAAGAGAAAAAGAATTTTGTTTTTTTCTTCCGTGATGCGGACTGAGTGCGGGCAAAAGCTATAAAATTATTATAAATACGAAAGTTACATTATATACATTCTGAGAGGTAATACTATCACTAGATAGCGAACAATAAGTATAGGTAGGTACTAAAAGAAACAAAAATCGATGTTTAAAATTTATAAAATTGTTGTATTGAATCTAATTTTATTTGAGCGACCACTTTCAAAATTTTCTTTAACTCTAAATTATCAATCAGCTCATCTACACTGTAAAGTCGTTAATTAATTTAAGTATGCAGAGTATATGCGTCACAAAGCTCCGCCAATCGGTTAGTTATATAAACAAAGTAGAAGTGCAGCGACAGCAGCGCGGCGCATCGATCGCGCGCGGCGTCGCCGCGGCGCTCGCGGGCGGCACCCGGCGGGGCGGGAAGGCTCGGGCGCTGCGGGAGGCGCGGGGCACTGAATACCGGTCGAGCCTCAATTCTCAAACATAGACTACATACCGTCAGAATGCCCCGACGCGTATCCGATATTAATACCTGCAAGCTTTCAAGTTATTATTAATTTAGCTTTGCCTAAAAATAAGACATACAATATTTTTATATACCTGCCTGATTTCGTTATTAAACCTACTTAGAATTGTAGAAATTAATAAGTATGAACACAGTTCAGCCTTTTAGAAGACTGAATCATGTAATCGGAAAAATTAAGATTTTACATTGATACGGTTAGAGAATATACTTAAGTAAAACTAGCGACCCTCGCTACGCTCGAGTTCGTCTCTAGGTATGGGAAAGGTGCCATGAATGGGACCTTTTTTTAGTCTTAAGATTTTGAGCAATAAATGAGGTATAATAAAAATCTTTTGTATATAACGTAACTTTGTCCATTTACCTTTCTAAATATAAACCAAAAACAATATCTTTTCTAAACATTGTAGCATTGAAGTCAAATTTAAAAATTCTTAAGATATGTCCCATAACCCATTCATGACAGCGTGGTCTTGAATGGAACATTGATGGTCATCAAAGGGACATATTATAAAAAGTTCTTAGCTATTGTTATAAAAACTTTTATATTTTTTAATCGTTTATTTATACATCTCCAATAAATAATATACCTATGATATACCATGCTTAATCATAATCTGGCCGATACGTTTAAATGTTGGGAAATGCATTTACGCATACCACCTGTATACATACAGGTGGTTATGTTGGACTCATCAGCTAGAGAAGCCAGTACTAAACCCAACAGGACCTCCCCGGTCTTAATGGGGCGTTTAAGTCAATTTTTTTAACGTTGGGAAATGCATTTAGGTACGAGTTGGGACTCACCAGCAAAGCTAGTACTACCCACTAAAACCCAAAGGAACCTCCCGCGTCTTAGTGGGACGTCGCAGGATCGCTTACGCACTCGACCACGACGCCACGACGGCACCACTTCCCTTTTTTACCCCCTTAAGGGATGATTTTCGGGGTAAAAACTATGCTGTGGCCTTTCCAGAATCTCAAATTATCTCCATACCAAGTTTTATCTAAATCGGTTCAGCTGTTTAGTCATGAAAAGGTAACAAATAAACAGAGTTACTTTCGCATTTAGTTAATATGGACTAGTATGGATTACAGCTATTTAGTTACATCTCTCGATCGAGACTTCTATATATCGGGACCAGGGACTCAATAGTGACGACTTAATGGACGCGTCACGCGATAGATAGATTGCGCAAAATTAGAGTTAGTGTTTACTTGTCTCTGAGAGGTGGCTGCCGGGTAGGCAGGGCGGGTGCGTGCGGCGCGGCGAGGCGGGTGGCGCGGGCGGCGCGGCGCGGCAGTGTCCCGGCCGCGGCGTGCGGGACGGTCGCGAGTGAGAACATGCGCGTATGGGCGCTGCTGCTGCTGGGCGGCCTGGCCGCCGCCGCCCGCCGCGTCGACCAGGACTTCGAGTTCGACGACGCACCGGTACCTGACCTTATTCCCTAGCTCTATGTGTATATTATGTATAAACGACCTTAAAACCTCGACCTACTTCCTATAGGACTTAATATTAAATATTTTATAACAAGGGTCGGGTACAGCTGCCGCCGAACCTTTTACCACCTCTTTATTTTATAAACAATTATTGCTTACATTCGCCCTACACGGAAAAAATCGTGTCAAACTGTACCTTAGATGCAACATTAAAAGCCACTTTGTAACCCAGAACTTTTAACATGTAGGTACATAGGTACCTACCACACGTAGGCTCCGTCTGCAAAGTTACGTGAACGCAGCATTTTGTTTCTGCCGTTATTGATTTTCATTTGTCGGTCGCGTTATCCTCTGTTATGTTAGGACGCGTAGGTGAGAATTTCGCACAGCAACCTTGACCTCTGCTGACAATTAAATTAGCACCTTAATCTAATAGAAGCCATTTTTTTCACCAATTGATTGCATGAATTAGAGGATCCTGCAATTGTTGCGCAAGTTCTAATTTTATATTACACAAGTGTATGGAATTTGATATACATAAACTCCGAGAGGTCAGCCGTGGCGTGAATTCTAGTTTAGGTACTTCGTATAGCTACAATACAGACGATGCCAGACTTAGAGTTCTTGCCTCCGCCACCCACTCGTATCTATGTAAAGTTTTCACAATATCGTAAGCAACTGTTTATCTCACGAGGCGGTCTCAAGATAGATAGATCGAGTAGATACAATGTGCTCTATGGTCCGTTGCAACTTACAGGAGGCGCCTCAGAGTCAGCTACACGCGCGGCGTCCACGAAGATATGTTTACGATCCTGAGAGTAAGTACTATCATTATTTTATTATGATTTTTTTTTAGTTTATTAGACCTTACGTAGATACAGAGCCAATCCAATTAGAATTAATAATTATGATCTTAGGTTCACTCATTCCACTCATAAATAAAGTAGGTACCTACCTGCTCTACACACTACAGAATTGCTTGAAAGACTAAAGATAATCTTAGGTAATCTGTCTAATATATCCATCCCATTACCTATATATACACCTTGGTAAAATGAGGCCTTAGATTCGAGTTGGTAAATAACCCAGATCTTGAATGTTAAGGGTTTAAAGTTTAATTCTGTGCCTCAGGGAGTATGTAAAACCGGCGGTCTTGCTCTCGATCGAAATGGACGTTTACAGTGTGGGATAATGAGGGCATGTGTCTTTCTGCATATATTAGTGCATTATAACATCCCTAAGCCCTTCGCATACTACTACATACGGTTTACTGCTCTCTTACTGTAACAATGTACTTATAGGTGCAGGTATCTACCGGTACTTACTACTGTAATCGATATCTGTAAGAGAACAATATTATTATCTATATATTATACCATCTTAATCTAACCGAGGACCATCTAACACCGTTCGGTGATGATGTCAGGATGTCTATATACCTACAAATAAATTAAACTTTAAATTTCAGATCCGATGTGTCTCACGCTAGTGTGCAAGAAGCGCGAAGTGTGCTTACTGCGAGATGCATTCACTGCGCTATGCGCTAACAAAAAAGATATTCTACGAAGAGGGTAATTCTAACTACACTAAACGAGTATTAGGTTCTGACCGGGATCTTATGAATTGTCTCAGTATTTCTTATGAATTGAATTCACTTTTTGTTAAAAACTGTGCACTAAAATAATCAATCAAAAAAAGTAAAATAGTCTTTTGATAAATATATATACGTATATTTAATATCTATATATCTATATATATATATATATATATATATATATATATATATATATATATATTTATTTGTATTTATTTGAAAGTCCCTTGTACGAGTAAGTAAACATTGCACGGCCTCCTGTCGCAGGGACATGATAGTGGCGGGCTCGGCGAGCAGCTGGGAGCGCGGCGACGACGAGGACGTGTTCTACGAGGCGCGCGCCTCCGAGCGCGCGGCGGCCGCGCGCCCCGCCGCCGACCGTTGCGTGGGCTGCGGCGGCGCGGCGCGCGCGGCCTTCCTGTGCGGCTCCGACAACCGCACGTACTCGTCGCTGTGCCGCCTCGACCTGCACAACTGCGTGCACCGCGCGCTGCCGCCCGTGCGCCTCGCCTGCCGCGGCTTCTGCCCCTGCGCGCCGCGGCCGCGCCGGCTGCGCTACCGCCCCGACGAGGTAAGGCCGCAGGGCGCGGGCGAGACGGAACGGAGGGCAGGAACATTGACGGAACTCGCGTGGTTGCAGGAGCGCCGGCGCCGCGCGGACGCGCACGAGGCGCCGCGCGCGCCGCCCTGCGCGCTCGACAAGATGGCCGACCGCTTGCTGGACTGGTTCTCCGTGCTCATGGACGAGGCGGGCGGCGTGCCGCCCCCGCAGGATGGTATTTGCATCTCGTATTTTATTCATTTTTTAAGTGGCGTATCGCAAAAGGATAACAGAGGTTCACAGACCACTCCCCTGTCAGTCAATCTGTCTACTTTCTTTGAACGCATGCAAATTTTCAATAGACGCAAAAAGCTAAAATTTCAAACAATTACCCGAATACCCGAAACTTTTTTGGTTTCAATAATTTCACCATGTCATCGATTCATATCACATTTACTAGAGCTTAACGGTCGCCACTATATCTGCCAGGGTTCCCACGGGATTGTAAACCAGAAGTGCGCTGGATGTTCACCCACCTCGACGCGGCCGGCGACGGCTCGCTGTCGCCCGCGGATCTTTATGCGTTAAGTGAGTGAAATTTTTCTTTCGACCGGTGTCGGCACAAAGCTAAAGTGTTGGTAACGTTAGTGAGTGGCGTCGCTCCGGCAGGGCACGACGAGCGCGAGCGCTGCCTGCGGCCGTTCCTGGCGTCGTGCGGCGGCGGCGGGCTGTCGCGCGCCGCGTGGTGCGCGTGCCTGCGCCGCGCCGCGCGCCCCTGCGCCGCGCTGGCGCGCGCGCACCCCGCGCCTCCGCCGGGTCAGTGCACTACTCTTTCTATTGACAACTATATTATGTAAATATACTGTTGAGGACGGTGCCCACGGACACTACGCGATAGGGAAAACTGACTGCCCTATAAGTGCAGAATAAATTAAAGAGTGGAGTGTATTAAATTGGTTTAATAGGTAGATCTACACGCAGAGCAAAAAACTGCCTTTCTCTTGCCATCCCACACATCTCGCTGCTGAAACTTTTTTTTTAATGTTGGTACATTTATTTACTCATACCACCTGTAGACAATACGAGTGGTTATGTGGGACTCACCGGCTAGAAAAGCCAGTACTACCCACTAAAACCCGACAAAACCCTTAATGGGACGTCGCAGGATCGCTTGCGCACTCAACCACGACGCCCCGACGGCAGGTACCAGGAAGCAGACCATAACAATTATGGGATTGCTCCAACAGTTCACTCTGCTATCAGAGAATTAGCAACTATAGCTGTAAACTGCTATAAACTACGCGAAGCATTGTTCATGCAATAATGTCAGGCGTAACCTTGTCGTCACCATATATATATATATATATATATATATATATATATATATATATAGGTATATATATATAGACTAGCATTGTCTGCGGCTTCGCCCGCGTTCAGATGACGAAAAACCAAATTCTTAGGTTTTACATTTAGTATTACATATTAGTATACTCTTACATTATAGTTTATGTATTTTTTCTCAGAAATTAGATATTTTCCCGCGGTAATAAGTATCCTGTATGTTAATCTGGATAACCAGCTATCACCATACCAAATTTCATCAAAATCTTTCCAGTGGTTTTCTTGTGATGCGACAACAGACAGACAGTCAAAAATTCTAAAAACTATAGATTCGGCCTCTATATCGATAATAATGTTAAACATCTCATATAGTCTTGAGTTACATTGGAGATCATTTTTTACTACTAAATCAACCAAATTAAACGTTAAACAATTGTAACAAACGTTTTAAGGTTTATATAACTAACAAAATATAAATAAACAAGCATTGCCCGCGGCTCCGCCCGCGTTCAGATGACTTAAAACCATTTTTTTAGGTTTTACATGTTCTCTTACATTGCAGTTTTTTGTATTTTTTCTCAGAAATGAGATATTATCCCGCGGTAAAAAGTATCCTATATGTTGACCCGGATCACCGTACCAAATTTTATCAAAATCCCTCCAGTGGTTTTTCTGTGATGCGGCAACAGACAGACAGACACACAGATAGACAGACAAAAATTCTAAAAACTATAGATTCGGCCTCTGTATCAATAATAATGTCTATTTCAGTAAGATTTTCCAAAAAATATTTAATGTACAGATTCGGCTTAGTTACAATTTTATTATATGTATAGACAAATAAACTCTTCTTCATATTTAAAAAACAATAATGAAAAATAAAAATTCCAAGTAAAAAAACATTTTTAAAAACAAGCTTTAATTTGAATGCCCTAAAAGAAGAAAATAAACTTTAAAACAAATCAAACCCATCAATTTATTACATTACTCAATTAATATGATATAAAAGCGGAGTTCCAGTGGGAATTTTTTAGCTTCATTTTCAGACCCTCGTCATTATAATATGTAATGGAAATTACTCATGATAAAAAAAATACTAGCCCGAATTCAACTGTCCTACCATTTGCCATCAAGTAGTTCCAGTCTCTACATCCTGGCTTCACCATCAGATCAGCTCGATGGTATTATAATATTGCATTGTCACCGGACTAACATAAGTACGCAAAATTTCAGCTCAATCGAACATCGGGAAGTGGGTCAAATTTAATGTTAATTTAATGTCAAATGTAAAATTTGACCTTTACAAACATATATACATATATATATATATATATACATATATATATATATATATATATATATACAGACATACATTACAAGTTAAATAAAAGTTTTTAAAAATACTAATAGGGTAATATGATTCCAGGGATCGTTTTATGCACACGAGGAGGGATCATTTAACCTCATACACCAAATTTCAAGACATCGATTGATCGAAATATATTTTGAAATATAATCTTCAAATACAACGTGCGGTATTTAAAAATTGCTTAAATATAGCTGAACGTGTGCTCACACCGCCATGACACTAGGAGAGGCAACTGGCGGAGTTGTGGGGATGACGTTTGTTGCGTATTTGGATCGATATCGCTAGTAGTTATTCGTATACGGTGGGGAATCATTTTACCTCGAGGGATCGTATTACACGCATTTCCCCTAACTATGAACTAACAACTTTTGAGACGTCAAAAACTTAAGTCTCGTCGTGACCACGAATGCAGCAAAGCATTTCAAATTTCGAGATTTAAAGATCGAAATAAATTTAGTTTTTTTTGCTTTTCATCCGAAATGGTTCCCCTCGCAGGCGCGTACGTGCCGGCGTGCGACGCGCGCGGCTTCTACCGCGCGCGGCAATGCCACGCCGCGCTGGGCGTGTGCTGGTGTGTGGACGCGCACGGCGCCGAGCGGCCCGGCTCGCGCACCAAGGGCGCGCCGCGCTGCCCCGGTGGGTACTCCCCGGCCCCTGCACTATCTCCTCGATTACTGTTTTACCTCAAAGGTGTAAAACATACCTACGATTTATTTCAGCACTAAACACAGTATTTAAATTTTAAATGTGTATTTTTTCCATTAATCTTCAATGATATGAAGCTCTCTCTAATGACAGAACGATTATTTTCTATATTCCTTAATTATTTACCTTATTCGTCGACAGGAGAAAATGAGACGGACAACAGTATAAGCGACGAGTCGGAGGAGGCGGAGCGGGACGGGACGCGGGACGGGGACGGGACGCGGGACAGGGCGCGGGACGGCGCGCCGGCGGACGACGAGGACGCGGGCGGCAGCGGCGACCGCGATAACGACCTGCGCTTCTAGCGCGGTTCCGGAAGGACAGCAAGTACTTTTACCACCGATTCATAAAAAAGTAACTGTAATATGCAAATATATCAATATTGTACTGCATGGAATTTTTATTTTTAGGCCGACGATTGAAAGCCGTGACGGGAAGAAGGCAATATGTTCAACCTTGGCGTCGGTCGCCCCTTGACCGCGAATCGCGATAGATCCAAATTGTTCCATTGCTATTTGGTGTTAAAGTCTAAAAAGATTAAACGAGAAGATGCAGTACGTTTATATCCACCGATGCATAAACAATGTGCTGAGAACTGTAAGATAGTCGATAATCATTCAGGGTTTGATTTTTCGGGGTTCCCAACTTTGGTATGTTTTAAGCCCTATTACTCTTTTAGCGTGTGTTCACTATACGATGTGAGAGTGGCTTAGTGCGCCCGACACGCGACGCAATATTCTTTTATTAGGATAGTCACTGGGAGAATATGGATATTCATTTACCACTGTACTGCAATTTTATGTTTTAATAGCTTACTTATTATTCTTCCCTCCTCCAACAGATGAGTCGGCGTGACGCGAGGGCGACCTTGACGCGGCCCCGTAGTGTATTGCAATAACAGTAATGTACCATTTATTTTTAAGAATTATAATTGCTAGAGTTCAGGTTGACATTGTAATTTAAGATGAGATTAGATATATGTTCATTCCATTTTATATAAAACCATATTAGACGAGTCGCTCCGAGCAGGCCTATAATTATTGTAATGTTTTATTTATCAGTACAAACGACGTAATATACACGTGGAAGAAAATATTTTCATAAGAATTTTAAAATATAACTAAAAAGGACGGACAGGCAATGAGTATTAACATCTCGTCTCGTGCCGCACCCGGCGAGTATGAAGGGGCACTATTTACAGTCGTTTTACAGTATCTTATTATTGTAGAGTAAATTATAAAGCCACTTTGAAGGCCTAAACACGGCCAATGTCCTCTATTTTTAACTTACATCGTATATTAACATAAATGGTAAATCTGAGCCTTCATTAGTTAAGCGTAGTGTTAATGATAATAAAATTGTAATATTGATGTAACTTAATACCATACCTAATACCTACGAGTAAGTATGTAACAAGTGTATGAATGTTCCCTGATGAACATTACCCGCCGGCCGCTGCCTCGGTGTGTGGGTGCGCGTGTACTGAGGCTCGCCGCCGCCAGTTGCCGGTGCATGCTCCGCCATTGTTAATTTTACTACGATTACTTTGCTCCGCCGCGCATCCATTTAATATAATGTGTTTAATGTAATCATTTGTAATCCTCAATTAAAGTTTATTAAACTCCTATCTGTAAAAACCACATAACAGTTATTTGCACTTTTTTAAATCTCACTAGATTTATTGAAATAAATATAATGTAATTTTAAAAATGAAGTATTATTTCTGCCATGTTCTTTTACGTCACAATCCAATATTTGCTTTTACGGCAAACTTTACTTCATTGTCTGTCTGTCGAGACTCCTTTTCTCAGGAAAACGTGGAGGTATCAAGTTACACAGTTCAGGTATGCATGTATGTATAATTCTTTGGAGCTATACAAAATTAAACTTATAAGTCAACACAATCAAGAGATACGGACGTTAATGCCGCATAGTGTCACTTTTTGACTTTGGAAATGTAATCAAAACCTATGGGGACCATGCCCGAAATGCAGGGCTGCACTATTGATCCCTTAGTGTTTTATTCTCAAAGATAGTGGGATCAAAACATTCATTTGTAAGTACAGAAATATATTTATAAAAATTAAAAAAAATAATAAAATATGGATATTGTATATGGTCAGAATAATGAGAAAGGTAAAAAATTATTCAAGTCTAACAATGTTTATTGTGTAGTATAAAAAAGTAATAAAAGTGGCACTGTCTTAACCTCAAAAATTGTACCACAAACGAGTGTGTTAAATCTTTATAGTGTATAAATTATGGTGCGTATAAAAATAACTTTAAAAATACTTAGTGTAATCAAATAGGGAAGAATTTTGCCTTTTTCTCCCGCCCTTAGCATATTGTAAAGCTCTATAGCCTGGATGTTTTATTTTTTCATTTTATTTAATATTTAACTAAAATGACAAACTGTGCAGTGCCAGAATGCAAAAATATTATTTGTTCCCAAAATACAAACCCTGAAGAAATTGTGGGCTAAAGCAATAAGACGACCAAAATTAGCGAAATCGCAATCTTTATATACAGGGTGGTCGGAACGTTGACGTCCAAAAATAAAATTTAGGTCCCTCGTATTGTAAGGTATCCGAATCACCCCCATGTATGTTACGTCCAACACAAATTAAACCACCGCCTATCATACTTTATGGTGTAGATGATGTCAACAAACTAACAGAATTGTAGTAGTGTATCTGACAAAAGTAAATTTACTTATAAAATTGTCAATAAAAATCAACTTAGGGTTAATACAGTGGATATAGAAGTATATAAAAAGCTAATTACTGTCATCAGAGAAAAAGGCTTAATTGGGCACATATTTAATAGTAAAGAAAATAGATATTACAGACTTGTGATTAGGAACTTACATCATACTACTCCCCTTGATGCTATTAAAGAAGACATTGAAAAAACTGGAAACACTATAGCAGGCGAAATAATTAATGCTAGATATGGGCCTGAAAAGAAACCAACGTCTACATTCTTTGTAAACCTTCTTCCCCACCCTAACAATAAATTAGCTAAAGAAATTAAATATATATATCACCAATCTGTAATAAAGAAGACCCAAGAAAAAAGAGAACAATTGTTCAATGTCAACGCTGTCAGTAATAAGGACATTCGAAAAACTACTGTATGAGACCTTACAGGTGTGTTAAGTGTGCACAATCGCATAAAACATCTGAATGCCCAAAAGGCGACAGAAACTCTCCGGCCAAATGTGCGCTATGTTTGGGAGCACATCCAGCGAATTATAAAGGCTGTGAAGTGTACCGAGAAATATTAGCTAGAAAAACAAATAAGCAACCAGTGAGAAAACCAGGTCTAAAATCTGAAAAACGAATCCAAAATATTGAAAACATAGAGAACGTTAAATTTAACGAAACAACAAAAGCAAGGATACAATATACTGAAGCTTTGAAATCTAAAAAGAATAATCAACCAACTACTCAGGAGTCAGAAAAAAAACTAATTAGAATTTGGAGGAAATACCTATAAAACAAACACAAAAATTTGATTTAATCCTACAACAGATGAGTACTTTGATGAGTCTCATAACAACACTTGTTAACAAAATAGTTAAATGAACGCATTGCGATCCGCTACATGGAACATAAATGGACTAAGTCCAAACAAAGAAGAAGTGGAAATATTGCTAGGGGAACATAAACTCGATATGCTACTTTTAACAGAAACTCATTGCACCCGTAACAGTTGCGTAAAGTTTAATGGCTTCAGCACATATATGACAAACCACCCTGACGGCAGAGCCCATGGTGGTACAGCTATTGTCATAAAAAATTCAATTAAACACCATCCTCTACCCGAATTTAAAACTGACCATATACAAGCCACAGTTGTAGCTGTCAAGGATAAATGTGGTTACTTTAATGTTGCATCGGTGTATTGTCCACCGAGGCACAATATTGGCGAAGCCATATTTACGACGTTCTTCTTGACACTCGGAAGCCGGTTTGTGGCAGGTGGTGACTGGAATTCGAAACACATCTCCTGGGGTTCGAGATTAACGTCAACAAGAGGTAGACAATTGAACATAGCAATACAAAAAAATCATTTACTCCCTGTTTCTACTGCCGAACCAACATACTGGCCAACAGACGTTAACAAAATTCCCGACTTACTAGACTTCTTCATTATTAAAGGATTGTCTAGACATTACCTAAAAGCCGAATCTTGCTTCGACAGCTCTTCCGACCACACACCGGTACTTCTAACAATCAGCACCACCATAATCTATAACGAAAAACCTGAAATCCTGTATAATAAATATACAGATTGGGACTCTTTTCACTATTATATAGAACAAAATATTAACATGAAAATTGCTTTAAAAACACAAGAAGATATAGATATTGTAGCTCATCATATAACCAACCTTATACAAGAAGCTTGTTGAAGAAGCACACCCGATTCTAATGAAAGTATAGCCACATCCAATCTTCCTTTAAAACTAAAATTAGAAATATTAGAAAAAAGGCGCTTGCGACGAGTATGGCATGTTAGCAGACATCCCAGTGATAAAACAGCTTTCAATCGAGCATGTAAAGATCTAAGGGAAAAGCTCAAAGAAGTGCAAGATAATACAATAGAGCACAAACTCTTGTCAGTAACTCCAACGGCTGCTACAAACTATTCTCTGTGGAAGCTAACAAAATCTATAAGTAGACCTACTATAGCAAAAACACCTATAAAACTACCCAATGGGATGTGGGCTAGGAGTTGCGAAGAAAAAGTACAAGCCTTTGCTGAACATCTTGTGGCAGTATTTACACCTAATGATAGCACTAACAATGATGACTTTAACAACTATGTCCATGCGTTTATTACAGCCCCTTACCAGCTTGATATTCCCCCAAAGTTAGTATCGCCAAAGGAAATATCTAATCTAATCAGAGGTTTAGATAGCAAAAAAGCACCTGGATTTGATTTGATAACCAAAGAAGTTCTGAAAGAACTACCCAGAAAGGCAGTGGTTTTTCTATGCTATCTATTTAATGGCATTCTAAGAACCCAACATTTCCCTACAATCTGGAAAGTGTCTCAATTAATAATGATACACAAAGTTGGAAAACCATCTCATGACATCAAACCTTATAGACCAATAAGCTTGCTACCAACTCTATCCAAGTTATTCGAAAGGGCCTTGTTACATCGAATAACCCAATTATTAAGTAAAAATAATGTTATCCCTGCCCACCAATTTGGATTTAGGCGACACCATTCCACCATCGAGCAAGTCCACAGGGTATACGACAAGATCCGAGAAACCCTGGAGCTCAAAGAATATTGCGCTTCAGCATTCCTAGATATACAGCAAGCGTTCGATAAGGTGTGGCACGAAGGTCTCATATGTAAATTAAAAACTCATCTACCCCACAGCTATATACCTCTTCTTATCTCCTATATATCAAATAGATTTTTTCAAATCAAAGACCGAGATGCGACATCTTAATTTAATCTTATACACTATCTATACTGCAGACTTGCCTACAATGCCTAAAATTGCCACAGCAACATTCGCAGATGACACAGCTGTCTTAGCAAGTGATAAAAATGCTGCTTCTGCTTCCTCATTATTGCAACAGGGATTAGATAAAATATATGCTTGGCTTAAAAACTGGAGAATAAAAGCCAGTGCAAATAAGTCAGTACAAGTAACATTCACTCTTAAACATGGTAACTGTCCGTCAGTTAACTTGGGTGGAAATACACTTCCTCACAAGGATGGTGTAAAATATCTAGGTCTGCATCCTGACAGAAAAATGACTTGGAAAAATCACATAAAAACCAAAAGAGACGAACTAAACATCCGTTACAAACACTTCCACTGGCTATTGGGTAAAAATTCAAAATTGTCGGTAGACAGCAAATTACTGATTTATACATCAATATTAAAACCAACATGGGCATACGGCGCTCAACTCTGAGGTAGCGCATGTGACTCCAATATTGCAATACTCCAAAGAATGCAAAACATAATTCTACGTACAATATCTAATGTACAGTGGTTCATTACTAATGACGAAATCCACCATAACTTGCAAGTGTCCAAAATAAAAGAGGAAGTTCGTAGTTTGGATTGCCAATATAGAACGCGCCTGGCTAATCACCCTAACATCCTAGCACACAGACTTCTGGATGATAACTGTCCAAGACGTCTCAAAAGAAAAGCCATACTAGATCTAGGATTATAATTCTAGCCTGACTAATGAAGGAGATTAGATCCTAATGAGGATCCACCCCACATGACAGCAATCTCTCAACAAATTTGCTTATAGTCAAAAGACTGATCGCAAATCATACCAGGAAAAAAAATGTATGTTACGCGACTTTTCATAGTTTATGAGCTATGAATTTAATTATGAATGAAGCACAACTGTTAGCCTATCCTATAGGCAGTAATTCCACTCTATGAGATGGGCAGTTCATAATAAATGAATAAAGAGAACAAAAGAAGTATATTTGTACTTCATCAGCAACCAGGGGAATTATTCTCTTATGTGCTTGCATTAAATGGCGACGGTGTTACAGGAACGATTTTAATATTACTATTCTTCGCTGATGTAGCCGTTCTTTTCTTTTTAGCCAGAGTTCTTTTATCATCAGCGGATGAGAAAAATTCATCAGTAGCAGCAATACAATCATCACTGCTAGATGATCCAAAATCACCATCGCTGAATGAATCTGTAAGGTTCAAATCATCATAAGCTTTTTGGAAGCATTGTCATTTGTCTCGTTTGTCTTAATATTGTTAATAACAATTTCTGTTAAATTCTCTGAAGAGTCTTCTGAATTCTGGTGTTCGTGGATAGTAGGGACTCTTCTTCTCCCTGCCTATTTCCCAATCACTTGGAGTCGGCGCAGTACATCTTCTGTACTGCTGAAAGGATTTGGCAAAAGTTTTATAACCGACCGCCTGCCTAACGTCTTCCCTCCTTGGGTATGCTATTGTCTGAATGGTATCGCGGAAGTCTTATAGTATGCACTTTCGATTTTTTTGTCTTTTAAAACAATTTTTGTACTATTACTTAAATTTTTAATGTTATTTTCGGATATATTTTAATATAAATTTTGATTACACATAGGTAGTAGGGACTGGACTTTCTTTAGGTTTTAGGCAAATTAATACAATCCCACTTATACCACGAAACACGAAAAATAGTGTGTGCAGCAATTATTTAAAGAAGTTATAACTTGAAATATATCTATAATCACGATATTCTTGCAAACAATCCTTCAAGTTATGTCACTTTGCATAAAATTATCTCCGAAACTATAGTATGTACCTAGATAAAAGACCATAAAATGTCCTAATTTTTATTTCTGATAATTTCTGTGTAAAAATCACAAAAAGGGGACAATTCGACTTCAATCTCTCATCACAGGAGTCACAGATACAATTAGTGACTCACACTCGCTCCTCTAGGTACTTTTTAAGGGTTAGTATAGATTTCTCAGAGATGAGATATTTGCCCGAAGTATGGGATATCCTATAAGTTGACCAAGATAATTAGCTATCAATTATCATCATATCAAATAGCTTCAAAATCTGTCCAGTGGTTTTCTCGTGATGCGAGATGCCCAGACAGACAGACAAAAATTCTAAAAACTATAGATTCGGCCTTTGTATCGATAATAATGACTACTTATTGAACTAGTAAGTAATAGTAAAATATGATTATTGAATAATATTTTTTTCATTCTGCAGGACACCGAGTACCTTCTTATATATTTGTAGTCATAACATAATGTGACATTGTAGCTAGCATATAATATTATCCTTCTCTGAATAATAAATCTTTCTTCTTGATAATGAAAGAATATATAATGTACAGATTCAACTCGGTTAAAATGTTATTATATGAATGTATAGACCAGGGTCGATAATTTTTAAACCAAAAAAAATCATAATAGAATGAAATTGAAAAAGGAAGAGAATATAACAAAAATGAAAGGAAAAATAATTTACAAGCGATCTGAGGTCAGGAAGTGGGAGAGGGTGAGTTTTTAAGGGTAAAAACAGTTTAGCTCGATTTCCGACATAACTATAAGTCCTATGGAAAAAATTTAAATAGCAAAGTTGTAGGTTATAAAAAAAATCTTCGACTTCTGTATTTAGGTACACTTTTTTCACATAACCTCAAAATTTATGAGAAAAATTTTAATAACCAAGTTTTTGGTTTTCTATTTTTATCTTTTACAAAAAAAAAACAACTTTTTAGGAAATGGTGAAAACTTGCCTTTTTATGTTACAAGCATACTGTAATTTTTTTTATTTAAAATATTTATTTTTTCACCTTATTTTGACTTAATATCGAAAGTCCCGTCAAAATATCTGCTTTTTTAAAAGAGTCAGTGAGCTTTTTGTTCTGTTTCTGAGAAAATGTACCATAGTAAATTAATGTATTTTTTTTAACCATCAGAAAGTAGAGATTTCAACGAACAAAAAGCCTTAATGTAGGCAAAAATGATTGATACATAATGTTGGATATACAACATTTAATTTTGGGATCATAACAAGTTTCTGTAAAATGGAGTCTGTGAGTTTGTATATTTTCTAAGTTCGATTCTGACTAGATCATGTGTAGATATTAGCAAAAGAAACTGATTGTGAGTATTGCTCGCAACAGATTCTTCATATTTACATATTCCAATAATATTGCTTCAAACTGCCAGCTAACATCTTGTGTAAAAGTTTAATTTCTTGGGAAAATATTTATTCTTCTATGAACATATGTAATATTCTCATATGGACATTGAGAAGTCAACAGTTAATTTTTAATATATTTGTTTAACTTATTAAATGAACTCAAACATACTCTAGGGCCCAGGTTATAAGCCCCATGAGTTCTATATATCATTTGTTTGTAGGACAAGTCGAATTAATAATAGCTTCCTCATCCTCATAATAGAATGCCATTTAATGATTTATGGAAGAATAATAAGTCAAGTTTTTTACCATTAATACTGCAGGAGCTAAATCTTCTCATGATTACAATATGATTTTATTATTAGCTTCAAAATTTAACGAAACATAATACAGTGCACATAATATTTTTTTCATTCTGCAGGATACCAAGTACCTACTTATATATTTGTTTTGCTAACATAAGAAAATTAATCAAATATGACATAGCTAGCTTACATTATCCTTTCTGTTAATTAAAATATATATAAAGAAAATGAAAATTAGGATAGACTATACCATACAACATAAAATTTATAAATTCATCATCAATACTAATAGTAAGAAAATTTTAAAATTTATTTGTTAATGGTTATGGATTACTTGTTTTATTATCACTGTGATGTTACAATTTTTCTTTTCATAAAGGGATTTTACCTATTATAAAGAACTGAAAAGTAAAAAGAACAAAGATATATCTTGGTTAGGTAGGAATTAAACAACTAGATGTTCTATGACTTATAATTACATACTAGTTAAATTAAGAAAAAAATAACTTAATTCACTTCCTCGGTTGGCTCGTCCTTAAATTTGCCATTGTAGTATGGGATCTTGGAGACGAACACTCTCCAGTCAGTAAAGTAAAGTAGTCCCAGGAATGCTCCGCCTCCGAATCCAGCCAACGTTGGGACGAAGCTGGCAGCAATTTCAGCGTGCTTCTTTCCTAGCCTCATATTCTATCTTTTCTGAGATTTAGTGTAAGAAAGGATCGAGGATTTTCTTTTAATCGTTTTCGTCTAAATGGTTACGTAAAGTAAAACTTATTTCAATTTTCTATAGAATGACAAATGAGTAATGACATTTGACTGCGGCTTGCAGTTGCCACAGACAACAGTCGAGTCCTAGTGTCAACTGTTAAGTATTTTAGTTCACTCACAGTTCACACAAAAAATAAAAAACCCGACTGCATAAAAGCTAACTAAAACGATGAATACAAGAAAGAATATAGTATTATGCAGTCGGAGACGTACACGTGCATGTCTCCATTGAAAAACAGAGCTATAAAAAATATGAAAAGCAATTTATTGTGATATCTCTTTTGTACAGGTGTTTTTTGGGAACAAATGATATCCATTTTATTTGTATCCTGCACAATTTGTCATTTTAATTAAAAATGAAAAAATCTATCCATGCTATGGAGCTTTTTAATATACTGAGAGCCATGGTGATTGTGAAATCTGGCGAGAGAAGAAGGCAAAATTCTTCCCGATTGTAATAAATTTTATTATCTGTATTTTGAATTTGGTGAAATGAGAGATTAAATTGCTACCTACTTAAATAAATGAGAAATCATGAAATGTCATAAGTCAATGTCATAATATGTTACCAATGAGTTGTTTATTTATTTATTTATAAATTAAATCTTTAATTATATACCAAATTATGTGATAAAATGTATTAATAGAAGGGATCCATACAAGATTGTTGTGAACTTTGCAGTGTAAGTGAATTAGTGACGTGCGGTAAGAATGATGTGGGATTCGTCAACATTCCTGGGTGCTCTAACACCGAAATTCTATGTAGCTTTGACCGGCACTTCATCTCTCATCTCTGGACTTATACTTATTTTCGAATGGTGGTATTTCCGTAAATATGGTACCTCGTTTATAGAACAGGTAATTACCATTTGAAATTACATTTGATAATAGATACTATTGTAGTCTAAATATGGTAGTCTAATAGGTTTAGGTTTTATCATAATTTATTAATTTCAACATTTACTAAGTATTAATAGTGTTGCCCTGATTTATTTTTTTATACAAATGTATATTTAAAACAATTACATATTTTTATTTTTTATTTTTCGAGATGTCCTTATTTATTGTGTGAATTCATTTCTGTTTCTTGTGTCAAAGCGAGATATTATGCTAAATGGCATATTATTTTGGGGATAACTGTTAAAATCACATCTCTTTAATTTATAATGCATTTAATGCTTTCTAACAACTTATAATATTTAAAAAAAATTTGTTTACAATTTTATGGACTGTCATGTTTTAAGCTAAATTGAATCTTAAATATTGACTTGATGGTAATCTGGTGTTCATGCATATTACTAATTATTAAAGCCATTCTATTAGATTTCCATGAATAATATGTACTTGACTTTTTAAATAAAACTAACTTTTTGTATTTTTTGTGAATTTATTTTGATTTTTGGTTCCCAACATTTTGAATGCTTTACAGCAATCATGCTCACGGGTGAAACTGAGATTTTATAGACAATATTTTAATTTTAAATATTTTTTGCCTAAATAATAAAGTCATCAGTTTCCTTAATAAGCAATTTGTTATAAAGGATCTCTATGAAGCAACCTGTTTCATTGTATTGTATCTTGGCTCAAGCTTGGCTTGGCTTAATGTTTTGGTAGTAAAAATGCTATGCTGAGTGACTGCAGGATATTTAATATTCATACTATGCAAGATGTTAAAATATATTTTGGATCTTAATAAAACTTTGTTGTTTAGTGTTAAAGAGCCTCCATCGGGACACTAGTGTGGTGATTGGAATTGATTGAAGTAAATTTAACAAAATTAAATTTAAAGTTTGTACATACTAACAGCGATTGCAGAGGCTTGCAACTGTTCCACATCCTTATCTTAGGACACAGCAGTGCCCCCGGCAAGTCAAGCAAATAAGGGCATATCAGTTACATCTTTTTCTCGAAGCCAAAGTCATTAAGGAAATTTTGGACCCCCTATAACTTCGTCGTGGATCTCTACCTCAGTCCCGTTTTCTAGATATACAACAAATTGCATAAGTAACTTTGTAATCACATATAAATAGATTATTATGCGATTACAAAGTTACTTTTGCAGTTCATATAATTTTTCATCACTTAAATTACTGAAGTGGATATGTAAGTAAATAGTGGACATATAGTAGGTATAGTAAGTCACAGACGATGTCGATGTAATAATATACAGATATACCTATACAATACTTATAAAACGGCGCAGCGCGAGCGTGGCGAAGGCAAGCGGTGAGATTGAGATCTTGGCGATTTTATAGTAGACAAAATTGCGTTAGGTATACGCAAAAGAAATACCTAGTACCAGAAAGGAAAAAAGGAGGTTTATTTACAAAAAATATTATTTACAAATAAGAATGAGATTCCATAAAAAACATAACATTTAAAAAATGCAAGTCTTGCAACTCAGTTTTTCTACTGCACAAAGTTTTGAGATCTAATGTAAAATCAAATCAGTTAATTTGTTCAGATAAATAATTTGCTCAGTAATCAGAGTACTTAGCTGAATATCGAAAATTATTTTGAAATTAATCATACTTCGTTAGTCACATGCAAGTGTCGCTTAAGCCTAGTTCGCATTAAGCTAGTATTTTAGTCCAGTAGCGAGTAATTTAGTAGCTAAATTACTCGCTACTCACCAAAAATCGTTCGCACTTTGGTCGAGTACAGTTTACAAGTGAGTGGTGTTTTGCAAGATGAACAGCCTACAACGCAATAAAGTAAATAAACTGATTAAGCTGATCGTAATGGCTATTTTAGAAGAGGTGGATGAGGTGGATAAATAAATACATAAATATGCTTTTGAAATAAAGTAATGAAAAGTAACCTGATGTTTTTAATTTTCATTTTAATTTCTTTTTCGCCAAATCCGGGTATATTCATTATTTTTTCCAAATCTAAGTATGCGGAATGTTTCATATGCTTGTTTTTATAATGCAAGGACCTAATATTCCACAAGCATTCGTGTTCAACATATTTCGAAACAAATTTAAAATTCATTTCTTCGCTCCAGCGAAACGACATTATGGCGGCAACTAATGAACTCGACTAATTCGACAGGTTCGTACTTGTTTAGCCGGTGAACCAGTGAGCTCGGACGCGTGGTGGGGCTGCTACTCGCCCAAAAAAATAGAATAAAATGCATTGACTCGACTAAATTACTTACTAAACTAATCGACTAAATTTTTAGTGTTCAAACACGTTTAGTTACTAAATTACTCGCTACTAGACTAAAATACTAGCTTAATGCGAACTAGGCTTTAGAGGTTTGTATGTGGGTCTCGGTGTGCGCAGGTGTCCCTGACGCACCTGGGCCCGTGGCTGGGCGGCGGTGCGGCGGCGGGCGCGGGCGCGGACGCCGAGTGCAAGGTGTGGCGCAACCCCATGTCGCTGCTGCGCGGCGCCGAGTACGGCCGCCTGTGGGCCGCCGCGCGCCGCGCCCCGCTCACTTACTATGATATGAATCTCTCTGCGCAGGTTCTGTACATTGAAAGTGCATGTATGCGATTTAATTTACGTTTATATTCAGTCAGTGAATACATATTTATTTATTCCGTTGCCGCGGGAGTGAGTTCGTCTGTATACGGGGGTGGTGTGGTATGGCGCAGGAGCACCAGGCGTGGTTCGGTGTGGGTGCGGCGGGCGCGGGCGGCGCGGACGAGGCGCTGGCGCGCGCGTGGCGCGAGCGCGAGCCGGCGGCGCGCGTGGCGCTGGCGCGCGCGGCGCTGGCGCTGCGGCCGGAGATGGCGGCAGCGCTGCTGCTGCTGGCGGAGGAGGACGCGCCCACGGTGGTGGAGGCGGAGCGCGTGCTGCGGCGCGCGCGCGCGGCGGGCGAGGCGGCGTGGCGCGCGCTGGCGGCGGCGGGCGCGGCGGGCGCGGCGCGGCGCGAGGCGGCCGTGCTGGCGCACGTGCGGCGCCGCGCCGCCATGTGCGCGCGCCGGCTGGGCCGCCTACGCGACGCCGCGCGCGCCTTCCGCGAGCTGGCGCGCGACGCGCCGCCCGCGCTGCACGCGCTCGGCCTGCACGAGAACCTCATCGAGGTGCTGCTCGAGCAGCGCGCCTACGCCGACGTGCAGGTCGACCTCTCAGCACTCTTGCTTCATCGTTGTAAATCTCTTTTGCAAATTGCGTTTTTAATCGACTTTCTGAAAGGAGAAGGTGACATTTTCGGTTGGCATTCATTATTATTTTTTTGTATGCATACACATGGATGTCCAAGGTTCGCAATTCGTCGGATCTTTTTTTATGTATTTTCAACGATTACTCGAAGACTTTTTTTAAATTTTTATTTAAAGGGAATACTCGTGCGGTCATCTTATACTAATATGGTGATGACCTGACGATAAAATTTGGAAATTGACTGTAATTTATTTTGATTGGCACTTTTATTATAGCACTTGTTACTTTACAAAAAAAAGTATACCAACGTAGACCATAGCAGGTTTGAAGGCGAACAATGGTATCCTTATTAGTTTGATATAATTTGAGCACTCAATACTCAAACCCTTGAACCGATTTAGATCCTTCTTTTTTTATTTGAAGTGTATACTAGCAAAATAATTTTGTATAATGATGATGATGATATCCGATATACGGAGGAACTTCTAATCGATATTAGATGTTTTAAATAAAAAAAAAATATAAACGGTGTCGTGGGACACCAGATAGGAACGAAGTTTCTGATTAGGTACATATATTAATTTCAAGTTCTAGTCGAGGTTTATTATGATATAGGTAATAACAATAACAGTAATCACGTAGACTATACATAAGACAGGCTATGTGAACTTGGCACCCGACTTTGGAAAAATTGTTCTTTTTTAGGTTTATTTGAACGATTTCAGTTAGTAGTAGAAAGTAGTGAAGCTAACTTCGTTTGTAGTAGTGCCAAAAAAATACAGACAACAAAAAAAATGTCATCCCTCGAAGTTGGTAAAAAAAAATTTTCCGCTTGATTCGTATAGAAAAACGTTAGTAGTGGTTTGTAGTGCAATTTTTTTCGTTTGTAGTAAAACAAAAAAAAAATTTTTTTTTTCGAGTATTTTTGCAGAACGATTTTTACTACATACATTCATTGTTTCGTTAGTAGTACCATTATTTCATTTGTAGTAACGTTAATTTTGGTTTGTAGTATCATTACTTCGTTGGAAGTAACGTTAATTTCGTTTGTAGTAACGTTAATTTCGTTTGCAGTACCATTATTTCGTTTGTAGTACCATTATTTCGTTTGTAGCTGTTTGTAGTAACGTTAATTTCGTTTGTAGTATACCATTATTTCGTTTGAAGTTGTTTGTAGTAACGTTAATTTCGTTTGTAGTACCATTATTTTGTTTGTAGTTGTTTAAAGTAACCTTAATTTCGTTTGTAGTACCATTATTTCGTTTGTAGTACCATTATTTCGTTTGTAGTACCATTATTTCGTTTGTAGTACCATTATTTCGTTTGTAGTACCATTATTTCGTTTGTAGTTGTTTGTAGTAACGTTAATTTCGTTTGTAGTACCATTCTTTCATTTGTAGTACCATTATTTCGTTTGTAGCTGTTTGTAGTAATGGTAATTTCGTTTGTAGTACCATTATTTCGTTCGTAGTTGTTTGTAGTAACGTTAATTTCGTTTATAGTACTATTATTTCGTTTGTAGTTGTTTGTAGTAACGTTAATTTCGTTTGTAGTACCATTATTTCGATGGTATCTGTTTGTAGTAACGTTAATTTCGTTTGTAGTACCATTATTTCATTTGTAGCTGTTTGTACTACAAACCACTGCTAACGTTTTTCTATACGAATCAAGCGGAAAAATTTTTTTTTACCAACTTCGGGGATGACATTTTTTTTGTTGTCTGTATTTTTTTTTGGCACTACTACAAACGAAGTTAGCTTCACTACTATCTACTACTAACCGAAATCGTTCAAATAAACCTAAAAAAGAACAATTTTTCCAAAGTCGGGTGCCAAGTTCACATAGCCCATAAGACACTGTCAATAAATTTATTAAATTAGTTATTTTATGTTTTTGGACGCATACTTTTACATATATTTTAGTAAGTAACGAGGGTAACGGTAGGTCACAGTCAAGTGTGAAGTATATATGTGTCCGTGTGCGGCGCAGGCGCTGGTCGCGCGGCACGAGGCCGAGGGCTCGGGCGCGCCGCGCTCGGCCGCGCTGTGCTACACGGCGGCGCTGCTGCGCGCGCGCGCCGCCGCCGCCGCGCCGCGCGGCGCCGCCGACGCCGCCGACGCCGCCGCGCTGCTCGCGCTGCGCCGCGCCATCGCCTACAACGCGCACGTGCCCGACTACCTGCTGGAGCTGCGCGCGCTCACGCTGCCGCCCGAGCACGTGGCGCGCCGCGGCGACAGCGAGGCCGTGGCCTACGCCTTCTGGCACCTGCGCCACTGGCGGCGCGCGGACGGCGCGCTGCGCCTGCTGGCGGTGGCGTGGGCGGCGGCGGGAGGCGCGGGGGGCGCGGGCGCGCGCGGGCCGGACCGCGAGCTGCTGCCGGCGCACCACGCGCCGGCGCCGCGCCGCGCGCCCGCGCTGCTGCCGCTGGCGGCGGCGCTGTGCGCGGGCGCGGCGCTGTTAGCGCTGCTGGCGCACCGCTGGCCGGCCGCCGCCGCCGCCGCCGCCGCCGCGCTCGACCCCGCGCGCCTGCTGCGCCTGCTCGCCGCGCTGTAGGCGGCGGACACCGATAACGATACGGCTATGTTCTTATTTATTTAATGAATATGACCATGATTATACATAATAATGCTTACGGTGTATTTAATACTATCTCGTATGTTAGGTTTTATTTATTTAATAACTATTTAATTAGTTTATAAGTAATATCGATGTTGTGAGCTCAATAAATGACTGAAATCATACACTTTTTTTAATTTCCATACCTTTAATCTTAAAACACACACAACAATAATATATATGTGTTAACAAATATTGTACACGGAGTCGTAGTGTGAGCTAAAACTAATCTAACAGAAATGTCAATGTGTGCGTGTTTTCGAAGTTTTGTATGCAAATACCGTCATTAGTGTGCTACCGGCAAGCAATAAAATTTCTGTTGCCGCTATAACACCAAATACAAAACAATAGAATAAAACAAATATTTAAGGGGCTCCCATACAACAAATGTGATTTTTATGGTATTTTTATAGATAATGGTACGAAACCCTTCATGCGCGAGTCCTAAATTAAAAGATTAAACAATAATCGAGTTGCCAAAAATATATTTGCCAATTGTATTGTGTATTGTGCAAGCCTAATTATTGTTTTATACATTTTAATTAATTCTCAATTTTAAGAAAAAAATAAAAACTTGCTAAGTGCGAGTCGGACTTAGCGGCAATAGAAATACATCATCTGTGAAAATTTCAACTGTTTAACTATCACGGTTCATGAGATACAGACTGGTCACAGACGGATAGACAGACTGACAGACAGCGGAGTCTTAGTAATAGGGTCCCGTTTTACCCTTTGGGTACGGAACCCTAATAAACTACTCTAAAATACTCTGTTGTGAACGCAGAGCCCGAACCATAAGTTCGAAACGTGCGGTTTCTCGATAAACAATCACAGCGAGAGGACCTTGGACCCCCATCAGCTGCTGGCATACTTTGATAAGCTATCTTTCTCGCACATGTAGCTACGCATAAGACTTTTTTTTTGGTACTAATTTGTAAACTTTATTTACGTCTGGGAATGGATTATAAGCGATAAATTCGTCTGGCGATTTGCAAGTATTATTGAAAATTACTCAATAAATACGTGATTAAAAGTTCAGATTGCCAAAAGTATATTTTTTGGGAATTTTAATAAAGCATCTTTGGAGAGGTCTGGCAATACTTTATAACCGACAAAAACGTCTGGGGTTCTTTTTTTGAATTATATGAAAATTAAATTAAAAGATAAAACAAAAATCAAGTTGCCTAAAATATGTTTTTTTGGATATTTTTTTTGCAAATGTTATATACTGCGCAGTAACGAAATAACCGCTAAAGCTATACCAGACTCGCGGGACTGGACTCGCCAATTCACGAAATTATATTTTTTCACAATTTCAACTTGCCAAAAGGACCTTCCCAAAATTCGTCGCCAGCTCTCGGGCTATAACTAAACGGAGGTTTTCATTTAGAATAGATACCCAGGGTATGAATTAATCATGATAAATATATCTTTTGATAATTATCGCGATAATTATCAAACAGATATAAACTTAGCAATCCTTGTGTAGGTATTGGTATTTGACTACTTGCCTATCATAATTTACGTTAGAATAAATTATACACATTTAACAATCAAGGTAATCTTTTATTATTATTATTTTTTCATTATTTTGACATATACAAACTTGGAAATAAAAACAGAATAAATTTAACCACCTATAAAGACCCTATTTAATTAAATTAAAGGTTTCTGTCCACTACCCCGTCTCATACCATGACAGTGCTAGGACCGTGTCAGGCAAAAAATATTCTTTGTATTGAAAAATGTGAGACTACGCCCACTAGACCGTTCCATCACCGACCAAGACCTTTCCGTCACCGACCAACACCGTCGGGCGTCGCGTGCCGTGCATAGAAAGTTAACAATAATTGTCTTCTAGTGATAATGTTTTCTTTTAAATTATTGTTTTTTTTAAATGGCGTGAACCTAGTAACGTCTTGATCGACTGATGTTATTCTTTTCTCTTTCTTCCTCGTCTAGAATTATGGCTATCATTGTTAATTCTCTGTCGGACAAGTTTCTAATAGCCATCGTATAGGTATAGGAAATAATTTTCGTAACAAAAATATTCACTCGCTCTTTCTGACGCGGCTACCTCACGCGAAAACACAGGTGAACTACTACGACTGAGAAAACTTGAACTATGTATACGGATATGACACGCGGATGAAACGCGGTTGATACGCGAATGATACGTTCTAGAGTAGTCCGTGTCGCTTGATTCCGTGCCTGATACGTTCATAGTAAGATCATGGTATGAGACAGTGTAGTTGGCAGACTCCTTAATGATTGGATTATCATCCTCATCCTCCTCAACTGCATTAACTCAGTTTGCTGACTGCGTTTTTTGAGCTGATTGAGAGAGTTCTGTTTGCTGATCGACAATTTGAAGAGTTACAAATTAAATATTTTCAATTATATTTATCAAAGATAATTATCAACCCATATTTATCATGATAATTATCATGACAATTATCAAAGATAATTATCGTTTCGAACCCAGTAGATACCTAATTAGATATTTTCAAAGTCAGTGCTAGCCGATGCTAAGCAAATCTAATAATATATTTCGATACGTAAAATATATATTTACCTATTAGATCTTAAAATATTGTCGGCTGGCACCGACTTCAAAAATATTTGATTCTATCTAAGATCTATTGATCTATTAAATGAAAACCTCCGTTTAGTTATTTTTTACATTTTAGTGCCTGGAAGTCAGTTTTTATTTTTTGTTAAAAAGTTTTTATTTTTCCATTTTTAGTGTAGACGTAAAAAGCAGCTTATTTGTAAGAAGAAAGTTTTTTAATAACATATTCGATTAAACAAGTTACTTAAAAAAAGTTATTGCTGATTTTTTTAAAAACCGCTCGACCGACCTTTGAAACAAAAAAAATCTAAATCGGTTCAGGCGTCTTCGAGTAATCGGTGAACTTATATAAAAAAAGAAAAAAAAAGATTTCGACGAATTGATAACCTCCTCCTTTTTGGAAGTCGGTTAAAAAGAACTTGTACTTAAAAATTATTTATTTTTAAGTAAAAGTTTTTTTTGCTAATACTAAGAATACTTTATTTTTTTGAGAAAAAATAAAGTATTATTATTATTTATTAAGTGATAAAGAAGTAATTTATAAATAATGTAAAAAAACGGACGTTAATGAGCTCCCCCACCACTAGAAGGTGAACGCATGTCGGGGGAACCCACTTAACCCCCTACAGCTGTGATAAACTAGAATTTGTTTAGGGGTCGCCCCAACGTGCGTTCACCTTGTCGTGGTGAAGGGGCTCAGTAGTGCCCGGCAACCCAACCGGGCACGAAGCCAAGAAACGCACAGGGAGGTGGCCCACTTCGGTGGGCGGTGGGAAGTGGCCCTCTTCGGAGGGCGGTGTACCATGCGGGTTGCTCCTGGTACTTCTCTGATAGCAGAGTGGACCTTGGAGCAACCCCGTGGTTGTTGTGGTCTGCTTTGGCAGACCAGCTGCCGTCGGGGCGTCGTAGTTGAATACGTAAGCGATCCTGCGACGCCCCATTAAGACGGGGGAAGGCTTTGTTGGGTTTTAGTGGGTAGTACTAGCTTTGCCGGTGAGTTCCACACCTCGTGCGTAAATACATTTCCCAACGTTAAAAAAAAGGATTTGTTTAGACCCCTAACACTCCATAATTTCATCTGGACCCAGAAACGGTTTCCCAAGATGAAAGCTGCGCTTGTGCGTGAGAGGTCCCACTTCCTACTCACGCACCCTAGAAGATGGAGCGCGTTTCATCTGCCTCCACGCGACTTCGGCAGGTTTGTGTGTCACTCAGCCCTAGGTTGAACATGTGCTTGTTTAAGCAGCAGTATCCTGTGAGAACTCTTGCTAATAGTCGTAAGGTATTTTTTTATCCGACTTCCAAAAAGGAGTAGGACGTGTTCTGTGTGACATATATATATACTGCTGGCTGGTACCGAATTCTAAAATATTTGATTAAATATCTATTCTAAATGGAAACCCCCGTTTAATTATTTTTTACTTTTCAGTGTCTGGAAGTCAGTTTTTTTTTAAGTTTTTATTAGAATTAATTATGTCTACATCAAGTTACATAATATTATATTTTTGTTACCCATCAAAAATATTATATTTTTATTTTGATTCGTTTTAATTTAATGGCGATATTTGCCATAGCCCCAAAGTAGTTTTACTTCAACCGCGCGTAAAGATTACACGCACTAATTATTATTATTTTTTTGGTTGTAGAGGACTTTAGTCACTACTTCATATCTTCATATTTAGAAAGAAAGAAAGAAAATTAAACTTGGAAAACTTTTATGTCTAATGTAAATACATAGTAAGTACATTTTACCAAAATCTTTTCAAATTCATGCAATGATGGCTCTTGAAGTACAGTGGTGGGCACTGCCGACTACGCAGACAGACGCCTGCCCGCGGCCCGGAGTCGCGGATCGAGCAACAGGCCGCCCGCCGCCAGTCGCTCGGCCGATGTTCAGAACGGAGGACGTTACTGCCAATTCTCTCCAAAATCGCGCGATCTACGCAAAACTTTTGCTTACTTCGATTGTTCGCAAAATTATTTTTATTAACTATAAATTTCTTACCGTTTATGAGATCTCCGTTCCTCTCGCGAAAACGAGAACTTTATTTCATACGTCGAATATAAGTTTAACATTTTTGTGCTTTAGTCCAACAGTGTTTGGAACTGTTCGTCTCTCAGATGTGTCAGTATTGACGGTTGCTTATCCGTGTTACAGCTTATTACTTTTATTTAGTTTGTTTTTAGCTTAATTTTTCAATAACACATGAAGATGGAAATGCTCAGTGTTGAGACGGTGGTGTGTGGCGTGCGCGCGTAGCCGGTGGGCGCGAGCACGGATGCGGGTGCGCGGGCGCGATGGCGGCGCGCCGCCTCGTGCTGAACGGGCTGACGGCGGAGGTGGGCGGCGCGGCGGGCGGCGACGCCGGCGCGGGCGGCGCGGCCTCGCCCGAGTTCTACCACGAGCTGGAGCTGTACCGGCAGCTGCTGGCGCTGCCGACGCCGGCCGAGCGCGCGCCGCGCCGCCGCGCCCGCACGCCCGACCCGCCGCCGCCCGTGAGGACGTGCCACGGTAACAACTCATACTTTTATTAGCATAATATTAAACTTTATTTGTGACACACTGCTACAGACATAAAAAAATAATAACAAAATTTTTTTTTCATGACATCATTCAGTCAACTCTTAAATATCCCATTGCTGGGCATGGATTTCCCGTCCATGTGAGGCAAACAAGGCCGTACGTGGTCAACCACGTGAAAGTTGGCGGCCTTCACATATCTTTCGAAAATTGGTTACTTTAGGGCGTGCAGGTTTCCTCATCATGTTTTCCTTCATTGTTATGGTAATCATGTTGAAAAATGATCGTTCATGAAAATATTAAGAGTACGAGACCCGGGATTTCATCCGGTTTCACTTGGTTGGCTAGGCTACTTACACATGGCCTTACACATAACCCTTATCATTCTCGTAAGCTTTATGTGTATATCTATGGCAGTAGTTGTCCATCAATCATTTGCTATCGTGGCTAAATGTGTCCACATCTCTACTATAATAAAGTCCAGGTAATAAAGGTGCAACCAGCCAAGTTTTAAAAGTTTCCAGTTGGGGATTTTACCTGTCTTACAATTAAAGCTGCCGCGACACACGTCAATTGCTACGTGTCGTTGTCGCTGTGGTCTCATGTAAAATAGAAATCAGTATACTGTAAAATTTTGTTAACCATAAATAACCATAAAAAGGCACCAGTTTAGTATATGGGACGCGGCTCCTGGAGAAGTGGGTGGTATTTTTGAATAGGGGAGGTGATAGTACAAATATATAAAAAAAAATTGTTTTTTTTTTTTAATTTATTAAGAACACCAACAACATAACACACAAATACATTTTAAATTCATTCTTAATACACAAGTTCTAGTATGTTAGTCTCTTACAGGTGTCCATAGCACTGACCAACAAATTACATAGGTACATGCACTGCTAATATAAAAAGAAGATAAAGTGACTACAAAATAAGGGCAAAAAATTGTAAAACATTTAAATTTATAAAATATAGGGTTTAAGTTATCTTAACTAATTTTATGTAGGTATATAAAAAAATACAAACTGAGATATATGTAAAAAATATTTAAATTACCTGCTCTTAAAATGTAAACACAAAAAGTCTTATGCCCGATTTCACCAACGTCACCTAAATTTAAGGGATCTCCTAAGCATGGTTAGGGGGCTGTTAGGGGACAGTTTCTGTTTCACCGGCAGTTAGGGGTCACCTAAATATTAAAAGGCCCCCTAAATTTTGGTGCTCGAAATATGGGCTTAAAAACAATCGTAAAACGAAATTTAATTTAGGGGCTAGTTTAGGGGACTTTAGACTAGGGATCCCATACGTAGGTGGTAGCTTATGGGTTGTTGGTGAAATCGGGCATTAAGAACTTTGCTAAAATAATAGTGGTAGGGACAGATAATTAACAACATAAAATAATGCCGTATATCTTACAATGATTTACAATTCTCCACGGATTTTTTCGTACAAGGTTTTCTTTAGTTTGAGCAAATTGTTATGAAATAGATCAACGTCACACCCGAAAGACAGAGTACATAGTTCATTATATTATGCTTTAAGCATTCGAGGAAAAGGAGAATTCGAGCAAGATACCGTCCTAGAAACTGGCATATCGAACAGGCCTTTGTTTATTGCGCGCGACCCAGGTCGCGGAATCCTGAAATAAATGTTCTCTAATATTAGTGGACAGTCCAACATTCCATTTAGTATCTTAAATAATGTGCAAATATTAATTATACATCCCCTATTAAATAAAGTGTCAATTTTAAAAGTCGTCAACCTATCCTGATACCTAATCGCTTCTCTTACTTATATCGCTACTATACGCAAGATACTTGGTAAAGGAACGCTGTATTCGTTCGATTCTTTCGGAATGATATGCTTGGTAGGGATATCAAATGACGCTTAAATATTCCAATATGCTTCTTACTAAGGCATTAAAGATAACTATCCTAGTCTTTGGAGTCAAATCAAACATTTTCGAAGTCATTGTGCTTTGGCTAAGTAATTAAAGCCTACCTATTAAATACATACCTAATCAAATATTTCCGAAATCGGTGCCAGCCCATACAAAGCAAAGCACACCGACTTCGAAAATATTTGATTAGGTATGTATAGTAAATGAAAACTACCAATCACTTTTTTTTTTACTTTTTAGTGCTTTTGTTTGAAGTCGGTTTTTATTTTTTTGTTAAAAAGTTTTTTCGTATACGCTCATTTATAGTTTTTGTTCTAATAGTATTACTATAGTTTTTAGTGAACTCATACAATTTATAAACGTAAGTAGACTATTTTTTAATCTAAGTGTATTATTTATTTTCGATTAAGTGACAGTGCGACTTGGATAATTTAGGTTGAGAAGGCTAAGGCGGGAGCGAAGCGTAGCGTAGCTCCTTAGCTAACTTTAGCCTTCTCGTTAGGTATTTTTTTTATTTTAAACCCAGAAAATTTTAGGAGTGCAAAAGGAATAGAGAATGCACAATGCACATGCGCTAAGACATACTCGTATATTATGTGTGTACTAACAATAATACATCTCTTATGCAAATACACTTTATATTTTTATATTTAATATTTAGGTTTTGGTTAAGAATTTCTATAGTAATGAAGATATCTGCAGTGAATAATGAATATGTCTGAGGCATATTGTATAATTCGTCGTTACGCGGTCTTATATTTGGAAACACTCGCGGGTGTGTCAAATGCCGAAGGCAAGATGCAAAATGTGAACGTGTGAACTTAATGCATTTTGCCAAAATATGTTACAATAAAAAAAAGTAAGATTCAACTTAACTAATTAAAAAAACTGTTAACTGAATTATTGGTAGATGAGAAGTACTATGGCAGAAAGGTTAAGGTATTGCTAAGCCTTTATTAAGGTTTTTCTTGAGCCCAAAATCCCTATTACTCTACCTTTCGGCATTTAGAAACACGCGAGAGTTAACGTACGGCATTGTTTGTAAGAAAACGAAACATACGATACGCCTGCGACGATAGATGCTGACTGATAATGATACTGACTCCGCCGTGTGCCCGCAGAGGGAGTTCGCCGCTGCCGCACGCCGGCGCCGCGTAGCGCGCGCGCGCCGCCCGCGCCGCAGCCGGCCGGCGCCAGGCCTGCTCGGGTACGTACACTCTGTGCTCACTTATATATTATTATGGAAATAAGTTAAAAATTTTAATAAATATAGATAGAGAGATATGTAATGTTTCGAAATTTGGGGGTAATAATATTTTTTCTCCTACAATTGCCTCTGATGTAGGTATGTTTCAGACAAAGCGGCTGGATGTACTAATTTAGTTTTTGAAAACCCTTTGAGATATCCATATAATAAGGAAAATATTACACACGTACTCGTATAATATAAACTCGGTGTTATAAAGTAACTAAGAAGAAAGAAGTTTGAAATTAAATGTTAACAAGCGCTCTCTAGCAATCGTACTGAGTTCTTTTAAAATTTCGTTAAGCCTCGACCCAGATGAAAGTAAAGTAATATGCAAATTAGAGCGTTTTAAATAGAGCTCGCAGATAGAGTCGGTGTAATTAGCATACTCTATAGGGCAAAGAAAACCTTAAAAATAATGAGAAATCTTCTAAAATGATTAGGATCTTGAAAGCCTCCGCTGATATCACGCGACAGGTCACGTCCTCTCGTAATCCTGGTTAACGCAAAATCTAAATAGAAAGGTATTGTAAGCTCGGAGCCAACTCAATAAATAATTATATATTCATTTACGTTCAATCATAAAGTGCTAGTTCCAGACTTAGGCGCTTAGTTATTCCACTTTGCCTCACTTTAAGATTTTCAAGAATTTCGTACCTATAATTTAATGTTAAAAATATTGAGATATATGCTAAGAGAGTCGTATGGAAATTTTGTACTTAGTACTTAGTGCATACCTACAGCAATACTTCGTCTCGCCAGCTGTCTTCTATGCAATCTCGTCATGAAAATTACAATGTTTTACATTGTAATTTTCACGTCAAAGCGGGCTCTTTGTTCTTATCATGTCAAAACGGGCTGCGAGTGTCAAGCCTCGTTAAAAAAGTTCCCTTTTGTTTTTTCACGGAAATATTTTTGAGCTCTTTTTATATTAAGCGCGGGAGCAGCTGAGTTTCAAGACGAGGACAATTTCTTCATATCTATACATATAATAAAATTGTAACTAAGCCGAATCTGTACATTAAATATTTTTTGGAAAATCTTATTGTAATAAACATTATTATCGATACAGAGGCCGAATCTATAGTTTTTAGAATTTTTGTCTGTGTGTCTGTCTGTCTGTCTGTTACCGCATCACAGAAAAACCACTGGAGGGATTTTGATGAAATTTGGTATGGTGATAGCTGGTTATCCGGGTCAACATATAGGATACTTTTTACCGCGGGAAAATGTCTCTTTTCTGAGAAAAAATACAAAAACTGCAATGTAAGAGTAATCTAATATGTAAAACCTAAGAATTTGGTTTTTGGTCATCTGAACGCGGGCGGAGCCGCGGGCAATGCTAGTCTATTTAAATAAAGTAGTTTCTTACATATATTTACTACCATATTCACTCTCTGACAGCCGCCCTCTCTCGCTGCGAAACGGGCCTCACTACATCACGCACGTCCGTCACTATTATATGTATATAAATCATTAGCAGAGTATGACCCCGGTAAATGCTATTAGAATCGAGCTTTTAAGTAATCCAAAGTAAAGCCAACGGCAAGAATGTACTAGTAATATTATTTACTTCCAAGTTTATAGTTTTTTTTATTTCGTTTCAGTAATAATGTAATATTAACCGGTTTTAGTAATAGGTAGGTAATTTACATTCACGGCCTCATGAAAAGATACATAATATGACAAATTTTAATGGCGTAAAATTGTTACTCGAAAACTGTACTGCAATTTAAATCAATTGTGCGTTGTTTAATTGTAGTTAAAATGTTTCCGAGTCATTTGTCTTAAATGCGAACTTTAGTTAGTTTTTCAAGTTGAATTCATTACATTTAATGCGAGAGAACGGTATGCTCTATTCTCATTGCTTTCTTTTAAACAAAGTTTGCAACCGGTTAACTCGGCTCTCGCGCCGGAGTGCGCCGCGCGCGGAGCCGGCGCACGTGCGGCGAGCAAACCTCACGTTTCTTATCTTAAATGGCTCAAAACTCATTCTCCATGGTCATTTAACTTTTATTGCATACTTTACTGCGAGGTGGAATAAGTGCAAAATGTATTAGTAGTGATGTTCATATTACCATTCTATATCTTTTGGATGTATAGTTATCCTAATTATCAATTTCATAATATAAATGTGAATGTTGTTGTATGTCTGTATATGGTTATAATTTGTTCATGTCACGGCTCAACGGATTTGAGTACAGTTCACAATAGATCTTATTTAAGCTTTGGATTAACACTTATTACTATTTTTTATCGACATACACACCTATCAAGCGGAGTCGGGGCAATAACTAATGCCTATATAAGTGTTTTTAAAGTTCAGGGCGGCGTGGGGCGGCGTAGGGCGGCGCGGTGCTCGCGGCCCGCCGTGTCGCGAGAGATAATCTTACCATTAAATATCCTCACACAGCCAGGAAACGTAGCCTATAAATTTATTTCACATTATATATTTTGCAAATGTTTAATTCTGATAAGCGCATGCTAATTTCCTTTTCGGGCTTAGTATCATTCGCCTGGTCATATTTTCAGTATAAAGTGGAAAATGAACATGATATTTTTATTTGAATGAAAATCTCCTTTAGCATAATATCTTATAATAATGTATGCTTCGGGGACAGCGTGAGGTATCTCAGTCGGATCTTTATAATAAAATATTTCTATTTCCCGAGCTAGAAGTGAAGATTCAGTTGATTGAAGAAAGAGTTCGTATTTGTTACAGCATCCGACTATTTTGTAGAGTACATCACGTAGTAGGCGGGCGTGCGCAGGAAAAAGCTATTATAATTTGGCAGCGCAGTTAATCCCGCGGTCGCGCGCCTCATTACCGCCGGCGCTAATACCACGCATCAATTTGTTTTGAAGAGCTTAAGTTTTATAAAACATAACATAATCAGTATTTTTCATGACTACAAATTGTGTTTTCATAAACAACAACACGCTTGGTTTTAAGGTAAATTATTATACCTAGTGTTTATATATATATATTTTTCTTTGGTTTTCGATTATGGACTGTCTTCTCATTCTGTACATACAACAATGCAGGATACATGTAACTGGATGCACCTAAAATATCTGTTTTTTTTTTATTCAAGAGAACAAAACAATATAATAACCGTAAATAGGTACTAGCATTGCCCGCGGCTCCACCCGCGTTCAGATGACCATAAACCAAATTCTTAGGTTTTACATATTAGTATACTCTTACATTGCAGTTTTTGTATTTTTCTCAAAAATGAGATATTTTCCCGCGGTAAAAAGTATCCTATATGTTAACCCGGATAACCAGCTGTAACCATACCAAATTTCATCAAAATCCCTCCAGTGGTTTTTCAGTGATGCGGTAACAGACAGACAGACAGACAGAAAGACACACAAAAATTCTAAAAACTATAGATTCGGCCCCTGTATCGATAATAATGTTTATTTCAATAAAATTTCCAAAAAAATATCTAATGTACAGGTTCGGCTTAGTTACAATTTTATTATATGTATAGATGTATTAAATGCGATCGCTTATTACAGAAATAAGTAAGAAATATAGACAAATATATCGTAGAGCATCTCGTATGCAAGTTGGTTGCTCTGTTCACACTGGCCATGCCTCTACACATATAGGGAAAAATAACCAAAAATGATATTTAGTAACTTGTATGCGCGGATTATAGCCGACTTGCCGTTGCATAAAGTGACAGAATATCGCGATATTCAGTCAAAGCGCGATTTTATACAGTCGGTGGGTATGCAAAGGGAGCGCTCGCTCGCCGCGCGCCGTCCGCGTCGCTGAGACGTACGTACATCAGATCAAACTTTTCAAATATTTCCCTGCTTTTTAAGGTTTTACTGACATTAAATCGGTTTTAAAGTATGTTTGTAACTTTAAAATTCATTAATAATTTTCTAATTTTTCAAACAGTCGCCCCACAAATAATTGTACATACAGATAAATAAATTTAAGTGTTTACTTGTAATGTCAAAATAACAGCTTTTTACTAATTGCATATAAAATTCTATACGGTACTTATAAGAGAACTACAATTTTTCAAAAATGTGTCTGTCTGTCTATCTATTTGTTCCGGCTGATCTACTAAACGACTGGCCTGATCTTGACGAGGTTTTCTCTGGCAGATAGTTGATGTTATAAGGAGTAACTTAGGCTACTTTTATTTTAGAAAAAGAGTTAGAGTTCCGCTCGAAAAAATTAAAATGTACTTCCCTACGCGCCTGAGGTATGTCGCTAGTTTAAAAATTAAAATTTCTTAAAGTAACTTTTTTTATTATATGAAGAAACAAAAACGCGTATTGAACTGGTCATATCCATTAGACTTCCACTACCGGCCTCTTTGTTCCATCTTTTGAACAGCTCAATGGTAGTAATAATAGCCTTGTCGTCAGAAATACATGAATTTATAAAGATTAAAGTCAATGTACCTAAAATTAGAAGTAGTTTCAAATTTATAATATACATAATATGTATTGATGTTGTTTTTCCGAAGATGATGAAGCTGATCTCTTAAAATCGTATGTTTTATGCTAATGAGACTCATAAAAATGATCTGGATTAACGTAATTACTACCTCAATACAATATTTTTTTTTAAATAATGATCAATTCAATCATTTTCAAGAAATCTTTAAAAAAACAAACAAATGTGCACAATGAGCTTAAAAATTTGAAATACGTAAATTAAAATAAATTACACTTTACTTACTACTACACTGAATTCTTTTCAGGCTTTGGTTACTTTAGATTATTTCAGGCTTTTCCGTCTTGTAGATTTGAAAAATCTTTTGAAGGACGAACCATACATTTCTATCAATTGTACTTATATACTTACTAGCAGAACCCGTGGCTTCGCTCGCTCTAAAGTAGCAAAAAAATTTCAAAGGATGAATTTCGAAAAATGCTAAAACACGTATGTATTTTATGGAAGAGCATTAATACCAAGTGTCAAGTAATTCTGGTCATAAATATTTTTTGGATTGTATTATAACGAGTTTTCCCATGGGAATTTGATAATCTCCCGCGGTAAAAAGTAACCTATGTCACTCTCCAACCCTCCAAGTATCTCCACACAAAAAATCGCGCTAATCCATTACTCCGTTTCGACGTGAAAGAAGAACAAACAAACACACTTTCACATTTATATTATTGGTATGGGATATACTCAAAAGTAGAAAAAAGTGGAATATTAGTCACGAAAGATTTATCGACGTCGCGTCCTTATTTTTTGAAAGAAGTATTCGGGAAATGGCACTTTATTTTTTTTATTACTTCTGAAATGAATATACGAGTATGTAGAGCTAAAACAGTTTCCTTAAAAAATGTTAGGTGGGTGTTAGTAAATGGTGTTCGAGCATTGTATTAGATGGATTATCTTTGCACAAGCTCCTTATTGCGACCTTGTTAGTCGATCTCATTAGTTTGCTGAGACGGCGACAAGGCAATATTGTGTGATAGCACTCGAAATCACGCGGTGAAATGTTGCGAAGGTGCGCTTTTATCACTAGTTACACCTGTCAGAAAGTATATTAGGTTTATAGAAGTCTTTATCTGTAAAATATTTTATTTAATAAAGTGACGACAAACACATGTCTTTAGACAAGTCTGACGATTATTTAGATCAGAGAAATAAAATTTTCTATAGTAATAAGGAGAGACCTAGCAATATCAGTATAAGAAGAGTACCTGTGTCCTGTATGCTGTCCTGCTGCTCATAAATCTCAATATTTTGTTTTCAGTTTTTCGTAAAACTTAAAGCTGTGTCTCATTTTTAATAAGTAACTTTTGCACTTAACCTCACCATAGCCGAGTTCCGTTCCATAACCCAAATTTCCACGCAACCCTAACTTCTCACTTTTTTCCTTAAATTAAATTACCAAATTTCCATCATTGGACAAATTATCATCTGATTCTAGTCACTTAGTATTTCCTTTTGTACATACATATGTATGTATGAATAAATTATGTATTACATATAATATTAAAATAGAGTGTAATATTTTTATTTTCAGCTGCCAAAAAAGGGGAAAAATAAAAACTTTTTAACAAAAAAATAAAAACTGGCTTCAAAAAAAGCACTAAAAGTAAAAAATAACTGATTGGTAGTTTTCATTTATTTTTTTATTTGTCGGCGTGCTTTGTTTTCTATCGGCTGGCACCGACTTCGAAACTATTTGATTAGGTATGTATAGTTAATGAAAACTACCAATCAGTTATTTTTTACTTTTTAGTGCTTTAGTGCTATTTTACAGTCGGTTTTTTATTTTTTTGTTAAAAAGTTTCTATTTTTCCCTTTTTAGTGTAGATATAGTAGTAGCAAAGTAAGAAGAAAGTATTGTAATAAAATATTCGCTTAAACCGTTGAAGTTACTTTGATGCCAATTTTTATACGAAGACTTACAAACTAAAATTCGCTTTTATTAGTAACACTAACAATTCTGGCTCTAAAATCCGATTCTCAAGTGTTAGGCTTGTCAAATCAAACAAAATAAGTCCAAACTCAAAGTATCTACTATTATGCGTTGAAGAGTTCCACCTATCCACCTTCTGGCCTTACCATCAGATCAGGTTAACGATACTGAACTACTGCACTATCAACGGAAATAGAAACACTTGCAAAGTTTCAAGTCAAAATGACAATTACAAGTAGGTTAAATTCATCATAAGCTATTTTTCCACCCTTAGGGGTGGTATTTTTTTTTAAATTTAAATGAGACCAATCTGGAAGTATACAATTTTAAACAAAACAAATTGTCCAAATCGGTTAATAAATGACGGAGTTCTGAGGTGACAAACATAAAAAAAAAACATACAGCCGAATTGAGAATCTCCTCATTTTTGAGGAAGTCGGTTGAAAATGTATATTTACTTAAGCATTATTTAAAAATAAACTAAGTACAGTCGGGGGCAGATCATATATCGCATGCATCGAGCTGGTGTATAGCGACGTCGCGGTCTCGAGGGCGCGTCTTTGTCTTACGTCCCGCGCAAGACTGTGCGGTACTTTGCCTCAAAGCTGACCGCGGCAGCTAATAAGCAAATGGCTCGTGCAGCCCTCGCTTTGTGCAATGTGTACTCTTTTATTATGGCTCGCAGTCGCGGAGGTACTTTCATACAAATATGAAAATGTAAGATTATGAATCACTTAGAAAGAGCAACTAACATACGAATATGTAGTATCAGTTATGTTTAGAGCATTTTATGTAAATAATAACTTTGAAATCGAAGCCAAGGCGGACAGTTTGTTGCATTTGGTAAATATTTGTATGAATATATAAACAATAAACACTGTGAATATATAAACAATATCCACTTATTTGAGACCTTATATTTATGAATTTCGATCAACTCGGGAATATTACAATTTCGTTGTCAAAAATGTGTTTTCATCCAAGTTATGGGACATAAATATGCATTAATTTGTATGGCTTATGTAGAAGCCTTTCAGACGAGAATAGCGATATAGCAATTTCGGTTGACGTGTGTTGTTAGCTTATCGGCTCCTCGCGGGAAATCAGCCGCGGGACGAGACGCGCCGGCAAATAGGCACAAACAACCGAAATTGGGGGGTTGTGCTTCAGTACAAATTGCATGGCAATTAGACACTGAAACAGATGATAGCTGGGATTCTGTTGAATCTTTTCATTGCATTTAACTAAATGGGACATAATTTTATGTTCGTTTTGGAAATATTAGAGAAACTTATATTATAACACATTTACCGGTGTTTACACTATAACCAGTTCATAACCGACTCTCAAAAAAGGAGGAGGTTCTTAATTCGTCGGAATCTTTTTTTAGTACCTCAACAACATTGTTGTACTAATGGTGGTTTGTTAACTTTCAATTAACAAAAAAAAAATGACTGAAATTACATTTTACACGAAGGCATACTCAATTTCCTCCTATATACAAGTACATCTCCAGGTTTATGAATATTGAATATACATCATGATGTATGATTACATGTAACATAATCATGTACCTAGTCTAGTCGTTATAGAATTTAATTTAAAAAAAGCTAAAATGCACAAAATAATCATGGATTTAGGCTTTAGCGGACGAAGCTCGGGTCTTTATCTATAATTAACTAAATTTAATGGGTATTTAGGTACTTTTATATTACTTTTTTAAGGAAAAAAAGGTCAATACTTACACGTATTTGAAAATAATTGATTTCACTTGCTACGACTTTACGTACAAGCCTTCCGGGAAAACCTTTATCGCCCAGAGGCCAGTGCTTGGAAATAATGTTAGAATAATTCAGAATAGATAATGAACAGTTACGAATTTGTAGATTATTTGTAAAATATTGTGAAAAATGCGGTAAAAGCCATAATTTTATATTACTAAAGCCTTGCAGTTTGCTTCACTGTTCAACTTTTCATTGGTAGTTTAAAAAAGGCAAAGTTATGCGAAACTCGAATTGGCTAGTTGTAATGCATTAAATTGTAAATGAAGTTAGTTAAAACGAGATTATGTGCGGAGTAGCTCTTAGCTGCTTTTGCAATGCAAAGCTGACAGACTCATTTCACGTCTCGCAGCCGCCGCGCAGCCGGCGCCCTGCCGCCGCGGTCGCCGCACTCCGGCGATTAGAAAAATAGCCACAGTTATTATTCGCACGAGCCATGATAGTGTCAACTAAAATCAAATAAGCTTAACAAAATGAATAATGATAATACTTTAAACCGATACCATTTTAATGGTACGTGTTTTGTGTCAATTTTAGTGATTGCACTTTATATATTTAGTAGTACTGCGAGTATGTCATACTTCATCAAT